GATCAGTGAAGGGGCAGGGACAGAGTCATTTTTAAAAGGGAGCCAGCAGGATGGGTGTGGTGGCACACACCTGTAATCCCAGCACTCTGGAAGGCCAAGGTGGGTGGATCATTTGAGGTTGGGAGTTTGAGATCAGCCTGGCCAATGGGTAAAATCCCTCTCTACTAAAAATACAAAAATTATTCTCCTGCCTCAGCCTCCCAAGTAGCTGCGATTACAGTGTGCATCACCTGATTTTGCCAAAACATGCCCAAAATTAGCTGGATGTGGTGGTGCATGCCTGCATTCCCAGCTACTCGGGAGGCTGAGGCTGGAGAATTGCTTACACCCAGGAGGCAGAGGTTTCAGTGAGCTAAGATTGCACCACTGCAGTCCAGCCTGGGACTCCATCTCGATAAGTAAATAGATAAAAGGGAGTCAGTATGCCCTAGGCCACACTCTGGGGTTTGGTGTAAACAGGGAGCAGGGCATTCTAAGGACCTGAGAGCAGCCACCAGGCTGGGTGGTGGGGTCTGCTGAGGGCTGTGAGGGGCAGCACTCGGGGTCTTGGAGTCCTGTGAGGGTAACACTAGGAAGGGCAGGGTGGGGGGCCGCTGGTCCTCTTGTGCAGGTGGGTTTTCCAATTTCCCACCCTTGCCCCCAAGTTAGGCCACACAACTGTGGAGACCAGCGGTACCTGTGCAGATGTCTGCAGCACTTCCTGCCAGCTGCTCTTTCTCTGCTGCAATAGCCTGAAGCCTCAAATTAACTGGGGTCACAAGATGGGGGCCTCGATGGAAGGGGCATCCCTGCCACGCTCCCACACCAGGTCACAATGGACAACAGGTATGCATGAAAGAGGAGCTGCTTTTCACAAGAGCCCCAGATATATCTGTTACTGCTCGTTACATGGCACCATCGAGTCTATTCTGACTGATACGGTGTGCAGGGGAGCTCCATCTGCAGAGGCACAAAGCAGAACAAGATGGAGGCAAGATTTTCCTGCAAAAATACCAGACTTTCTTCTTCAGTTTTGGGAAGCTGAGACCTTGCCATCCTCAGATGAAGCTTGGGACACAGCCACAAACCAGTGACGTCTCTCTGGGCCAGCACATGAGGGCCCAACGGGACCAGGAGGGGGCACAGCTAGTGATGGGGCAGCACGAGGTGCATTTGGTTTGGAGCAGGTGGGTTTGGAGTGTCCACCAAGTGTCCCTGGGGATGCAGGTGTCTACATCTGCGGAAAGTGGGCGGAAAGTCTAGCCTGATGGACAGCGGCAGACGGGGAAGGTGAGTGATTTGGACAGCCTGGGGAGAGCACCCCACACATGGCCAGGCAGGGTGGGCACTCATGGGAAGCCAGATGAAAGCCTGCAGGCTGCCAGGGGAGTGTGGGCCGCACACACCCAGAAAAGGGCATGTGGCAGGACGAAAGAGGCTTTAGATTGAATGTAAGAAAATCACAACTTAATAAAGACTTTGAGATGGAGTTCCACTCTTGTTTCCCAAGCTAGAGTGCAATGGCGCAATCTCAGCTCACGGCAACCTCCACCTCCAGGGTTCAAGCGATTCTCTGGCCTCAGCCACCCACCACCATGCCCAGCTGATTTTGTATTTTTAGTAGAGATGGAGTTTCTCCATGTTGGTCAGGCTGGTCTCAAACTCCTGACCTCAGGTGATCCACCTTCCTCGGCCTCCCAAGTGCTGGGATTACAGGCGTGAGCCACTGCACTGGGCCAAGATTTTT